TAGCAGCTATATAGTATTTATGTGTATACCAAAATTATATATTTAAGGAACTAGAAAGTACAGCAACAGCAAAAGTATTCGAATCTTGGAAAATATTAATTACAATTTAATACAAAATAATAATTAAAATTAAAATAAGATAATATAATAATAATAAATAATAAAGACAATAAATTTGTGACATATAACAAATATCTAAGAGATTTGAAAGTACTAGTAGCAGTAACACTATACTCTTGGATAATTATAATAACAAAATAATAATTATAAAAATTACAAGATAATGATAAGATAAAAAATCAAACTAATGCAATTTCGTTACTATGATCAAGATATAAGAAAGATAGTTTATGATAAGATAAAATATTGCAGATGTCGAGAAAGATATACTCTAAATGGTTTCTTCATTCAGCACACTTCTAATAAGACATTTCGTAAATGGTCCTGCAGATCTGTGAAATATTGAGGATAATATTTGGCTATCTTATCTTTGCTTGACCTACATAGTACCTTTCTGCCTTGGATTTCTTTCACCCGAGTACAAAATTCTTGAACCAAGAGGTTTATGTTATTATTGTAACCGGCTAGAATCGGGAAAACAGATAGATAACATGAAAGGATTTAAACGACGAATACATTGGTTAGGATGTGAATAGATCAATAGGTTTATCAATAGCCTTACTTTGTAGATATAACCTTTCTTCATGGATCGCACAATGAATCTAATAAGTCGCGGTTTACATACCACTGTTAATTATAATAACAGTACTAAATCAGATCAGGTACAAAGATACTAAATATTACTGTGAACAAGTTCTCTCTCTATACATCTAACTAACGTTTTCAAAAGTCTGATAACAGTTTTAATGCTAGACTTATGGAATAGTTACAGTTATACAGATCCTATACAAACAATTCTTACAATACTGCACAATAAATTGAATTAGAATATAACTTAAACTTACCTTTTTGCGCCTTCCTCGCCCTCAGCATGTTCACCACCGGCTGCAGCATTAGCATCCTGTTCTAGTGTAGCACCACCGGCAGTAACTGTCGCATCAGCAGCGCTTGCATCCTGTGTTGGTGCTGACGCATCCTCATCAGTTTGGCCACCTTTAACGGCGCCAACTAATGAGGTAAACTGATTTGTTAAACCGGAGAACATGTCCGTTTGATTATTTGATTTGAAAGTTGTTAGTTTTTTTTCTCTAACTGCTGTCTTTAATCAAATTGTTGCTACTTTTGCTGTGCTTTTGTATTTTAGCGTTTTTGTCTATTTCGCACAAGTTTTTGAATCAATGAATATGTTTGTATGTCAGTGTACGTGCGTAAAAGATTTTGCAGACACAAACTCTAAGAGGAAGGCAATGTTCAACGTTCAACGTGTTTCTGTACAGATATTCGAATTGAAAGAGTACTGGGGACAACTGCGACGATACAGAAAAAAGGGGTTAGTGATTTTTTTTAAATCGCGTGCAGCACAGAATTGCTTCACTCGTGTTTTTCGTTATTTGGTTGATTTTGTAGAAAATTGCTTTGCAGAATTCGAATTCTTTTAGAATTTTCGTTTTGATATTTTTTTTTCAAAAACTTAACACTTCACTGAAATACGAGATGCTTTTATTTTATAATTGCAGGAAAAAAAATGATGAAATTTTAAGTAAAAGTAAGAAATGCACAAATAGAAAAATCGAATAAATCAGAAAAATCAATATACGTTTTAGAATGTGAAAAATTCAGTTAAGATTTTAAAATAAAAAATAAAATAAAAGCAGCTTTTGTGTTGTGACACGTTTGAAAAATAGCAAAAATTATTGCAAAAAACTAAGTTTTAACACGCAATTAATTTGGTACTGAGTTTTGTGGTTTCGTTTATTTTAAAAAATGTTTGCTATGAAGTTTACCACTTCCTAAAACTTCCAATTTGAATTGAAATTATTTAACAAAACTTCGTGTGCTTTTTTGGCTTCCAACTGTGATGAAGGTCCTATGAAAACTAACTGTAAAAGGAATTGATTTTAGAATAAAAGGTGCTCTGTTATTTACGAACTTACTGCTGCTGCGCTATGCAGACAAATTACTCAGTATACGTTTTACCAATATTAAGTCTGCAAAAGAATAGAAAAACTGTTTTGTAACCTTCATTACCCACTTTTCAGTCTAATCCTAAAGAAATCCTCACGTACATATTTTGAAGAGCTTTACATTTTCAATGATGTGTCGGAATTTGAATTCTCTTACTTACGCTAGACCTGCGCAATATAAAAATTAGTGCATGTTATGACTTGCAATTATTTATTTAATAATTATTGCTCAATATTTTAAGACAAATTCACACTTTAATCAGTCATTTCACTTTTTATATATTTCAGTTGATGTTTATCAATCTAATCACACAAACTTCTTATTTGTTTTCTGTTCTAACTTTTTTTTTCAGTGATGTGTCAAATCTACAGTACAAATGAAAAGATGCCTCGTGATGTGTTTGCAAATTTCTTTTCGATGTTCGGACTTATTGTAATGTATTTATAAAATTTTAGTCCGTGTGCGAGTTGGAGTAAATTGCAATGCACTTATGTAAATATATATTTATTGAACTTATTTATTATTTTTAGTTAAAAGTTTTTAAATTTATTTATTTAACACCTTATAAAACTTTTATAATGGTCACATCTAATTTACCTAATTTTTATGTAATTTATTATTATTATGTTGTATTAACTGCGAGGTTTCTTCAAAACCCCTCTTTGCGTTTTGACTGAATTATTATTTATCACTTCATCAGACTAAGCAATAATTGACCTCAGATCTGCATACCTCCCCGAGGAGCCTGTAACCATTCTGAGATTTGATAACGCGGTGTTGGTAAGTTTGTCAGATTTCGCAAATAATTTATCCTACTCGAAATTCTGGTAAATACCAACATTTGCTGCCATACCGACATAATATCCTATTTCCCTTAATTTACCATCAATTTACTCGAACTTGCACACGAAGTTATTGTAACAAAATTTTTAAGAAACAAATTCTTAATATTTATTAAAATTTGCATTTCTTTAAATAAATGTATAATGCACATGTTACAATTCATTATTTTTTTCAATTAAATGTAACAATATGTGTATTTTATTATATTAGTGATATACATAGTACCTATGTATATAAAGGTATATCCACACCAAAAGGTGCAACCACACCAAAGTGAACGCTTGCGAACAAACGAACTTCGCAGATAATGGTATCTGCAAAAGTTCGTTCATAAGCAAACAGTATATTCACACTGTCTTAATTAGGGACTTGCTCATTTAAATCAATGAGTGAACGTTCACATTATGATGAGCTTATTTATGCAGCTGATAGAACTCTTATAAACTTTACTTAAAATATCTCAAAAAAAATTTATTATATTTTTTATATATAAAATCATTTATATACATTTTATATATAAGATTACATATTCAATTAATAAAAACAAAGATTTTATTAAATACTTACTTTCTCAGAGCATTTGTTTACAGTTCAACTATTGTTTGTTTACATTTTATATTTAAAACATATGATACATAAATCAAATTTTGATAATTACTCTTCGGAGAAATTTATTTTTAAGGATTGTATTCGACATTTTCCGATCCAAATGAGCTGATTTATTGATAATGAGCTTACTAATATGAAATATTTTTGTATAGTAAATCATCCTAAGTAGTGGCTATAATGAGAAAACTGGCTAAATAAGACAGTGTGAATGTGCTATATGATACAATAAAATTTTTACATGTATTAATTTTATTTTATATATTTCTTTTTAAATAAATAAATTTAAAAATTTGAATATTTCATAAATATTTTCATATTCAAATGAAAAAGTCAAATTTGTGTTAAATCGAGACTTATGTGCGTAGTATGAAATTGATATTAAGCGTTTACACTTCAACTTTTAGAGATTTGGGAATAGCAAAACAAAACAGAAGGCAAGTCATTTTTTGTTTTAACTTGCTTCTGAATATTATACGCCACCATATATTTTTATTGTTTAATTTCGAAAAAATAACAAAACATATACAATTTTCGCAAATTTATTTTGAATATATTAAACAAAACAGATTTCAAATAAGAGAATATAAGTATATGCACTGCTTCATTTATGCTTGATTGTGTTCAACATTTATTTATTTCCTTTTTGTTTCTATTTAAACTTGTACAATGAGTCACATCGTCACAGAAATTTTTCTAAACAGCTAACGGACTTATAAAATAAGTTCAATAAGTATATTTTGAATATCTCTGTATGGATATTGTATAAGAAATATAAATATATCCATTGTACATCCTTATCAAGATAAGCCCGAAAACGAATTAAATACGATAGTCTAAACATATAAAATAAGATACAATTTAAATATATTGTTCCAGTTTTGGATGTTTTTCTCTGACTGAAGAATTCACTGTTTCTTCTGTTTTTAAGCAATTTATAACGAGATTTATTTACTAGTTCATTTTATATACAACAAAACTCTTAGATGGCTTTAAAATAACTCTTAAATTGTTTATCTGACTTAAGACAAACAATTTAATAAAATTGTTTATCTGGCTTAAGACAAATAAATAAATTTAATAATGTAGTGTCTGTCTATCTTATACCTTAGTAAGAGTAAGTAACTTCTTTTTATTAAGAAGCATATTGAGTTACTACAATATTATTTAAATGGTTTTTACAATGAAATCATCAAGAAGATAAGAAAATAATAATTCACAGGATATTGTCTTACTCTGCTCTATATATGTGTATTGTAAAAGCGGCATTTAATTTTAGTTTTTTTTAATTAAAAATTAATTTTGTTCTAGGACCAGAAATCTATTTCGAATAGAAATATCTTCTAGCAATACTACGTAGATTAATAAATTATAAATTTATAAATAAATTATCACTTAATTACTCTTAGAACAATTGAGGGTTTTAATAAGGAAGGATTTACTTATGTAGACTTTAAAAAACAACAATTTAGAATTATTTTATGTAATTAAAACCAAGCTATTTTAAATATGTTTTAATAACAAAATAGTAGATTAGTGTAGAATGGAAACTATATAAATTTGGTATTCAATTAAAATTATATTTAGCTAATGCGCCGCTATGTTAAAAAAGTCTTGAACACCAGTGAATTGCAACAAAAATTTTTTTTTTCATTTCATTTTAAATATATACTATACTCTTAACCTTAACTTGCACTAACAAATAATAGATTTTTAAAAATAGTTTCTTTAATGACATTGAATATTATCATATTCAATCATAAAATCTATGATTTTTGCAATTTATAGTTGCAATAGGAACTCCATGAGCTACAATTTTCTTGTAACATAAATGTAAAATTATTTCTTCATTAATCGAAACTTCATTTTATATTTTATAGTTAGATTAAATCTAAATAGATATAGGATCACAATTTAAAAACATTTAATTTAAATAAGCCGATAGTAATATTACAGCAATAAATTGATTATAATATATCTTAATAGAGTATTTAGACATAGCTATGGATATATTTAGTTTTTAACCAATACATCTAATGCAATAATAAGAAGAAATGATTCTGATAGGTAAAGTATAAACATTAACGCATAAATACATTAGAATTTTACTTTAACACTAGTATTATTTCATGACATATCGACTAATGATGAAGAATGGTTAACTAAAGTTAGTGTTAATCCGCACTATGTGTTTACACATCTGTCAGTTATATGCAATTCTCACTCTCTTATGTGCGATAATGTTGACACTAAACATTTTATAATAAAAAAATATAACTTTAAATAAAATTCAAACTGAAATTGCAAATTTAACATCATGTATATTTCACAAATATATAAGAAAACTAATCATTCAGCAGTTCGTAAGCTCTTCAATGAAGCACGTGTAATTTCGGAATTTTAACAAAAGTATACCTTTCTCTTCGAATCGTTTGCTAAGCACCAGTAGAAAAGTGTATCCTTGTCAGTTTCATTTGTTAAATTTTGGTATTAATTTAAATATTCTATTATACAACTAAATCACTAAATTGGCTAGATTTCATCGTTTGTCCGTTGGATCTTCTTTCTGCCTGCTAGAGTCTTTTAAATTTTGTAATTCTGCATCGATACGTTCTTTCGCCCGGAAAACTTTCGATTGCAGATAGAATGAACCACCATTTGATTTTTCATTTACTTTGAAAAGATGTTCATAATTTTTTACAATGTCTTCCAAGTTTTTCAAGTCATTAACATTTAAAATTTGTTTTGCTTCCTCAAGTGTCATGCCTGCATTCAAAATGTTAAAATGGTATTTTACTTAAAATGACAGAAACTTATATTACCCGTCCTCGCATTTGTTTCTGCTCTTTTTCTGCCCTCTCGGCCACCACCTCCACGCCTTGCGGCTTCCTGTGATACAGCAAATTCCTGTCGTAAAGCTTTGGCAAAGGCTTTACCAATTGCCTGTCCGCCGAGCACGATGATTTGTGCTAAGTATTTAGCCATTTTCTGAGGTAGTTTTCGAAACTGACAAGTGTTATAGGTGCTCGGAATTATTATATAATTTATAATTTTGTTTTATTTTCTGTACAATTTTGTTCATTTAAATAAAATATTAATTTTAGCACAATTATAAATACTGTGCGTTACAATCACTTGTTTTTGACATTACACAATTTAATTTCTTAACCTAAAAAACAATATGACGGCAGTGTTGTATTTTCAAAAAATAAAATTTTAAATTTTAAGAACATATGTTTTACGAAAATTATTATGAACCGATAAAATTATATTTTTGTTTATTTAATTTTTTATAATGTTATATACAAAAAATTTATAAATAAATATACAACAGAAAAAAAATGTTCAACAATGTAGTATACTATAATAGTTGCTAGCAAATTTTTGTATATATCATACCAGAGCTCACATTTTTATTTTGCCTATAAACTCGTGATAATTGGGCGAAGTTGTAACATGAGGTAAATTGCTAAATAATAATTAAACTATATAATTTACCTATTAACTATTTGAAGCATTTAACTGTTTGACTAGTTATATAACTATTTGAAGTTATAAACAAAAAAAATTTTTTGTGACTATTTTTGTGTACAATAACAAATAACACACGTATTTGATTGAAATGTCAAAATAAATAAAATTATGTGTTAATATGGCAATTACATCTGAGTCGGCAGTATGTATTTAACATATAGCATATTTTGATTTTTTTATACGCAAAACTTAGCACAAATTTAACATTTTAACTAATTAGCATAAGTATTGCATGTCTAAATTATGTAGATTGAAATTTGTTACATTATTTTGTTATAAATAATATTAATTTCAATGTTAAGAAAAATTTAATTCAATTTTATATTAAATTTGTTAAATTAAAAAATAATTGTTTTAAATGTGTATACATTTAAATAAAAATTTAAATATTATGGTTCGTTAAATTAGTACACATACATATATGCATATGAATAATGGTAGTGAATCACATGTATATAT